AAAAAAAAAAAAAAAAAAAATTTTAAATACATAAATGCATGATATCTTGAATAATTGGAAAAATTAATTAATAGGTGTTTTCGCACTTTTTGAACAGTAATGTACATGTGCAACATTACTTTACAGAATTTACATTTTCCCAAATCGTTTCCTTTTCTCTTTTAAAGGCAAAGAACGCGATGATTAATTTTTCCTGAAATAAATCGTATGGTAAACGTTCCAGTGGAATATAATCATTCCAGAATATCTATAGTCATATATATCACTTGATGGTATTTATTAGAGATGAGCCGATAAACGTTGTTATAGGATAATGAGGCTTTAGGGAAATGCAGTGATATAAAGATAAGAAACGATGACATCAATATTTCATGTCATGCATGTCGATGATCGCGTGCTGAATCGACAAGAATAATGTACATATATTTCAAGAGGAAAATCATACAACTCGCATGCTCGTCCCAACGATCAAATGTGTAAGTGTGAATCAACCCTGGATTAATACAATGTTATTAGTGTTAAGAAGATGAATCATTAGAGTGCTCGTATAGAATAAATTTCTCTGCTCCAATTATTGGTCTTGGAATTTTTTTTATATTTGTGAATTGAAGATGGACGAAATAAAATAATAATAAAAAAAAAAAGAATATAGAGATGTTAAAGTAATATGAATTATTTGGGTTATTGAGTTATTGGGTTGAATTAATATTTTATATATGGAAACATATCGAGATCTCATTATAAGCCGATAGAATACAGGTGAAAGTACTTTCCGGTGAGTATTTTTCTCCAAACAATTTCCATATCATATGAAATCGAGCTTACTAATGAATATAATATCTTCGATACAAAATTATTTTCTACTTCTATTTTGAAATATCTCATATCTAAGAAATAATAATATAGTATAGTAGCAAATAAAAGTACTTCATATCTAAGAAGCACTTAATCATTTAACACATCATACAATGACCGAATGAAACAGAATTGTAATTCAATTGTAACTTTATCGTAATAATTTCATAATTTCACTTTAACGTGAAAATATTTATTTTTCAATAATACTCTGTTCCATCAAATATATATTTCCTTTCTTATTCCCTCACTTAATGAAATTTGACTTTTAATTATTTAATTTTATTGAATTCGTTCTGATCTTCATTTTTGAAATCCATTTGTAAGCTCGATAAGCAGGAATCCCATTAAAATAAGAACCAAAAACCGGAACCGAATGGAAATGAACGAGAGGCAGGCAGGTGGTGTAAGACGTGATCGATAGATTGGAGAAGATAATGGCGAGGTATGAAGGTACCTCAGACCAAGGTCCTTCTTGCCAAATAAAGTTGCAGGCAATACGTCGGCAGGGCCTCTGCGTTTTCGGCTTTCTCAGACCAAGCTTCGAGCACTGCTCGTCCTTTACAGTCATTTCCGGCCCGTGGTTTCCTCTTCTCATTGTGCACTCCACTTTTCGCCTTTGATGTCCGGTACCGCACGATTTCGAACACTGCAAAACATTTTCGTTCGATCCAAACGATGCGATGGAAACTTCTTAAACAACTGCTTTCGACTCTTGATGCTTACACTTCCGACGTTTTATTTGACAAGCATGGTATTGCTCTCTATTCAAATTGAAAGTCGACGAATACTAATACAGAAGAGTTGAGAGCCCACAAACGAGATTGTGAAAATAACAATTGGGAATTATTCCTTGGCTAGTTTGGTAAAGTTCTACTTTAATCCAGACTTATTAAGAGCAATTGAAACGGGGAAGATTTCGAAAACGAGAAGGCAATTCGACATTACTTTTCTTTAATTTGTATTGCTGAAGTTTCACAACTCCAGTATTCGAGGATTATTAATATTTTGTTACATTTTTTTATAGCAGATTTTTTTATAGCAATCGTGGTTTATCAATGACTGATATTCTTCTCTTATTAAGCGTAATTATTCTAGCATATGTTAAAAGTTAGATAAATGATATTAAATGATATAAAATTTGATTGTTTTATTTGATGTCTTTTCAGTGTTTCTGATTGTATTAGTGATTCGCATATCATGTAGTGCAAAACAGCTTAATTTTAAATAACGATGAAATTGAAGGGTCACAACATCGACAAACGACATTTAATTACTTTACCTTTCTTGTATAATCGATTGAAGAGATTTTCTCTTTTTATTATAAATAATATTTTCATATAAAAATAACAGCAATAAACACCAAGATTAACATCAGGATTATTAAGTGAAACATTATAGGCCTGTCATATTTTTGTTTCGCAAGGATTTCAAAAAAAGAAGCGACATCGATGAAGTATAATACAATACAAAATACAAAAGAAGACAATACTCACGGTACTCCAGTCTGAAGGTTTCCATCTGCGCAGAATATTTGTTTCCATTCGATTCTTTCGGTCCACGGGAACATTACACGGCTTCTTTCGGCATGTTTTCACTATTTCCGACTTTTCCATGTCATGGCAGTTCTCGTCTGATAAAATTTCACCACGTGGACTTTGACAACGTACTTGTCGATATTGATGTCCTAGTCCGCATTCTACGTTGCACTGACATACACAAATTAATAATTACTATCTTCAAGATTTTGTTTGTTATACCGTTTTATTTTATCATCATGTCAAACAATTTACTTACTACTAATTATTACTTTGTATCTTTCTAATCAGAGAAAGAAAATGTAATCAATTTATAATTGATCTTTCTATAAGTAAATTAAACTTAATATTAACATTTTCTTTAGGTAGTTTAATTGTTAATTTATATAATTGTTTAATTTATAATGAAAATAAATATCGTGCAATATCAGAAATAAAATGATGGAATATCTATTTATATGGTTGTCATTTTATATGAATTATTTATAGACCAACCTGGGTCCATTCACTGTAAATCCACCTTGGACAGCGATAATGATTACAAGGAATCTCAGTATGTGGTTTCTTCTCATTGTCACAATAACTATCAGGTGCAATGACTCCTGTTTCAATGGAAACACATTTTACCCTTACGTTCCTATAACCTTTGATACATGGTCTGGAGCACTGAAATACAAAGTAAAAACTCTGTCATTTACCACATAACTGTGGTTATTATTCTAAAATTGAATAAAGATATTATAATTGCATGAATACCATTTCCTGTGTTTGAACATGCCATTTATATCCATAACGGAAGATTATGTCATGAATTTCATTATCTTGCTGAGAAGGAATTTCATATGGTGGATCAGAGGAATATTTGATCGGCGTTTTGTTTATCTGTATAAAATATAATTTTACAAGTGAAATAACGAACAATAAGAAGGAGTAAGAATGAGAAATTAATGGAAGATCAAATGTACCACTGGACAAGGCTTTAGCTCACAGATAGTAGTATTGTCTGGTTTATTGGACGAGGAACATTTGTCACTGATTATCCCATCAACTGACTTGCATATAACTTTTCGTCGCTTTGTGCCTTCACCACATGTAACTGAACACTGTGGAGAGAGAAAAATTTTCAAGCATTTGTCTTAATTATATTAATCATATTAATATCATATTAGTTATAAGTTTCCAGGTTTTTAAAATTTAATTTTAATTTAATTGTTTTTGATCACGTACCGGGCTCCAATCACCAGTGTGCCATTGTTCACAAGGGCCAGGATTGCAAACCTCAGTATCAATAGGAGGGGTGTCACCGCAGTAACTGTTTAAAACAACGCGGTTCTGTATCTGACACACGAAATGTCTGTGTCTCTTCCCTATACCACATGTTACTGAGCACTGTTGTAAAAAGAAAAAAAAAAATAACAAAATAATTTAATTGCGAAATCGTTTAATCCATTCAGGATCAATGTTATATTGATTCGACATTTTATTTGCAATTCTTTTTCAGTGAATTTATAATGTCGAATTTTGTATTTCAACATTGTGTTTACAAAACGGTGTACCAAGAGTTTGTTCAATATTTTTTTCAGTCACACTTTCTATTTAATCAATCTTTTTATCTATCAAATTGGAATCAAATTAGAAACTCAAGTCAAGATAATTTAAATGAATAATTACATGACTCCAGTTCTTGAATTCCCATTTGGGACATTCTTCGTTTCCACATGTCCTTTCCAAATCTTTCTTCTGTCCTATGCAGTTCTCTTCAGAAATCTGTCTCCGATTCGAGTCTACGCAGATAGCTGTCCTATATTGAATTCCACCTCTGCATGTGGTATTGCAAGCGCTCCATTTCCCGTAATGCCAGTGGGCATCTTCACATGGACCCATGCAAGGTATCGTATCGTTTGGTCGTTTAAGATGAGCGCACAGTTGCGCTGGAATTGGACGAGGTGGATGATTCGAGTTCAACAGCCTTTGTATACATCTAGAAGTGACCATGCGAGTTCCTGGACCACAGTGGTTCGAGCATTCAGAGATTTCAGTGATATTCCATCTGGAATTGTTCAACCAAAACATGATTCTTCTTATTCAAATAGATATTTGGTAACAAGTAAATTAAAGAAAATAAATTAATCTAAAATAAGAGTAGATTAATTTTAACATTTAACAGATTTATCTTCTAATCTCTATTCGCTGTTTAAAAAATAGAATATAAATATTCTATTTTTTAAATAGAATAACTAATCTTGACCTTTGCCATCTCTTCTTTCTAACTTTTAATATTACCTAAATAATACCTAATAATACTAATAATACCTAAATTAAATTAAACTAAATAAAAATGTAAATCTTGCAATTAATTAGTTTTCAAGCAAAATTTCAATGCATACTTACTCTAATATACAATAATTATTGCACATTTGACTCTCTTCTCGTGGTCTTTCTGACTCGCGACAATAATCATCGGCGACGACCTCTTCGTACTCGATACTTCTACACTCAGCCTTGCGATACTTCATACCTTGACAAGTGAGACTGCAGTTTGACCAATTACTTAATTTCCATTTGTAGCTCTCTAAAATGTCCCTCGGTACCGTGTATTCATAACTGATTTGAGGCGGATTTGATTCCGTTACTGACAGTACCTGAAAGATCACATTATGTAAATACAGTTAAATTAATATTATATCATAACTAAAATACAGTTAAGTTAATATTATATCATAACTAATTATCAATCGATTAATTAGTAATAATGACTGATTATTTATTTAAATAATAAATTATCATCAGCAATAACAAGCAGGTGTTAATGTGTTTAGTTATTTGTATATCCATTGAAAGTGTTTAACGATATATTTACTTCTAGAATTAAGTCAGTTTCAATTGGTCTGGAAGTATTCAGACGTTCCACAACTGATTCAGGTCCACTGTACTCGATGGTGACGCCATTTTCGACGATCACCCTTTGGGTCATCACCCTGAAGTTCCCATTCAGTATGTACTTTCCATTTTCTCCAAGTCGCAAAGCTGAAATAAATCAACGTTAAAAATTCAACGATGAACAATAAAGTACAAAAATTCTGAACTGAAGATGATAATTGCGTGATTATTTCTATGTTTGTTAAGACATTCTGACTGTGCAAGAAAATCCATAAAAATTATTTTAACACGTGTACCCATAATAATATGTAAAAATTGTTCTACAATCCTGTATTTTCATCAAATCCGGGGAAATAAAAGTTCTCACACGCACGAACGAACCAGAGAGATTTGCCAATTTGAAAAGAGCTCGTCTGCTTCGTCGTGACGTATAACAAACCACTAACAAATATAAGAAAGATATAAAGCTATATATATCTTGTCACATAAAGATGTCTTAGCAAGCACAATATCATCCAATTATCTTCGACAATTTTCACAAGAAGTGATAAATAATTTTTTAACTTCGATCCAACGAGATTTAAAGAGATTCTCTCGAAGATCACGGACGATCCTCGCGACTACGGTGCTCCTCGTGGCCATCGAGAAACTGAAAGGAATGTAGGAATCAAGTACCGAGGTAATTGCTGTCGTCTACCATGTCCTTCCAAGCGTGCTGCCTGATGTCAATGTTGTTGCTACCCGCTGGGATCTTGGCGACTCTGGTGTAGCCGTACTGGGTGGAGTTGTAAGAGCCGGTGATCCACTGGCAGGTGGAATTGTCGCCTCCGCATACGCCGCAGATATCGAGTTCCACCGTTGAGTTTAAAACGTGATCGCATCCCGCTGGTTTACAGTGGCCGTTCACGCATATGTGAAAGGTATCTCGGCCGCATGGTGTTCCGTCGATCACCTTTTCCGCCAGCATGTAATATTGATTGCTTTCCACTTGGCAGTACAATTTACAACGGTCCTGCGGCGATACTGAAACAAGAAGAAAGAACAGAAAATCGTGATGCGGTCGATAGAGGTTGATAGATACAAGCGTGGACCAAGCAGTATTTCACATTTAGTCCATCATTGACTCACAGTTCACCCTTAGGGGGATTGATAAGGTCCCTTTTTGGTTTCCTGCGCAAATCTTCAGATTTTTTACTTTTATTCTATCTTGTTCGTCAAAATAAAAATTTGCACGAATATTCGTTTAATTTCCCGTACTTACTTCGCGAATATTTGGCGTGCCATTTAACGTCCTTTGTCAGGTTCGGTATTCTCATGTTGTTGTTGTCGAAGTGCGAACACTGTAGCTCCCTGTGGAGAACGGAATGCCGATTAGAACGTGGTGGATTAGATAAAATAGGAATTAGAAAGAAATTAGGTATAGAGAAACAGGATTACAAGAACTACAAGACTAATCAGGTTTCATTACAATTTTAATAAAATTTCCAAATTCACGTACGATCATATGTTTGTATATTCCGACGTACATAGAGGTGGAGATAGCTCAATCGGTAGAGCATCAGACTTTTAATCTGAGGGTCCAGGGTTCGAACCCCTATTCGGGCGGAAAAAAAGATATATTGTG